CAAAGCAATACGTCAAATCCAGTTATAACTAATTTCAGAAACTATTAATAAATCCCCTATTGCTACCATCCCCTAACAAGGCATTCAGGAATATGCTAACTTCTTGTCTACACTTGATTCCATTCCTTTTCTTGATACCTGTTATCATTATCTTACAAAGGCTCCATATCTTTGTTTCCTTATTGTAAGCATTTCATACCTCCTTGATGTCTCTCATAGGCAGCTCCTCCAAGCACTGACTCTTTCTTCTTCTCACAGTAGCCAACTGACTCCAATCCCTCCCTTAACTAACCAATCCACTCTTTTATAACACTCTTCTTCTTATTGGCTACAGCTGTGGCCTGTTAAAGTCAGGCCTGCTCCTAATCTTTAATAATTACCCTAGCTGCAACTCCTTAGGGGTAAGATTACTTTCTATACTATCTTTATTTTCTTATAGTCTATCCTCCTACAGATACCTCTCCTATTTCCTGATAAAAAGACTTCCCACTGCCCAGGGGGAACTGTAGCTTGTCTTTATTTCATGCAATACTGAGCCATTATTTTGCATTTAAACATACCTGTACACTTTGCACCTAATGCTAAAATGCCATGTGAAATACTAAAATTTGCACAGAGGAAAAAAACCCTGCTGCATATGAGCTGTTGGCATGTCAAATTCCTCAGCTTGAGTACCACAGGCCCTTCACAGGAGAAGGCAGGTGGAAACCTGTGAACCTCTAAGTGTGCTTCCTTCAACTATAAATCCAATGATGCAGCTAAAACTGTCTATGCTTTCCTTGTTATACCACTAGGACTTAAGGGTGTTTGAAAATTAATAGGAACTTCTTAAAAGGAGTCAGTTCCTGAATTATTCTTTTACCAGTCCAGGATGTAGGAGGCTAAGTGATGCTCCTTGCTCTGCCACAAAAGTTTTCTGTGGCAGGTGGTACATTGTTCAGATTCCAGTGTAGGGTGGCGTTTATGCAACTGACTGCTGTAGGTCTATAGCTTCCCTTGGTTTAGTTACCTTTGTGCCTTCAGCTGAACTTTTTGCCAGAGAAAATTTTATTAATTCTCTGCTGGAGTTGGAATATTCTCCAATATCCAGCTAGCCAGTGCAGCAAGTACCTCCCTACCTTGCAGGGATGTTGCGGAAGTGAAGCTAGGCAAGAGAGAATCAAATCTACAGTACAATTGCTGTACTGACAGCTATAGAGGCCTGTAAAGCATAAAAAGTAAGGGAAGGTCTCAATACAGAAGTCCTTCACCAAGATGCAGCATGCATGCAGCAGAACTAATGCTTATGACTTTGCAAAGTTGTGGCTAATTTATTTGTTGGGTGTTCTTGGGATGCTTGAAAAGGCCAATGGCAAATTTATTTTCTCAAGGTAAAGGAATTTTTTTTCATCTGGAACAGACATGTCTGGAGGAGTTGTAAAAGCTCCAGTCATTACTAACCAACAGCTTTATTGTCTGGAAATAATTTCCTTTCTAGCAGGACCCTTTAACATGAGCCAATTACTACCACCATACTGTGATCACCAGTTTCAATGAATTATTACTGTGTATTATTTTCCTGTCTTACACCACCTGGCACTTGCATTTCTTTTTGCTGCATTATGCTTTTTAGCAGCAGGCAATGATAAGGCTGCTCAAATGTCACACAGGGCAAGAATATGACTTAAGAACCTAGGGATGAAAAAATGGAGGTAAACAGGGGTAACAAAGCAGGCCATTCTGCTTGATGATGGCAGCCACCTGCACTCAGGTGAAACTGAACCTTGCAGCAGTCTAATCTAGTATCAATTATCTCTGTTTTAATGTTTCTGTCCACCTGAGTACTGTAAAACAGTCATTAATTATCTCAGTCTTTTCTAATACATCTAAGGGAAAGCTCTGTCATTGTAGGGTGTGATTTGGGACTACTGTTGTTGATAAGGTTCCTATCTCTGAGCCAGTGTATGGTTATGAGCATAGGCAAAAAGTGCTGAAATCTCATCTCCTAAAGTTAGTAAAAGTGACAGGGAGAAGCTGTTAGTCATTTTTCACCTGAGGAGTGGGCTTTCTAGCCTACACAGAAAAAAATATACCTGACCATCACTCTTTCACATACTCACCCCTACACAAAACATGGTAACTCATATAAAACTTTCTTTTTCTAATAAGTAGTTTGGGAATGTACTGTTACCAAATCTGAAGGTAACTTTTTTTTCCCCACTGACTTCAACACCTTGAACAAAATTATAAATGATCAATGCTTTAGTTAAGATGTTTGAGATCCCAGCCGTCACTGAAAATTCTAAGTAGGCAAATCTCCCCTGTTGGTCCATACTTCTTGAAGGCTGGGAAAAGAATTTCTCCATGAAAAGACATCGCTTTTAATTTACAAAAAGCGGAGTTTATGGAAGCATATACATTAGCCATTTTGCTTCAGTAGAGGCACACTTTTGAGGTGAATCTCACCAGACCAGGACTGGAGTGCATTAAATGGATAAATCCTTTTGGATGAAACTAAGTAATAATTTTGGTGCTGCTGAAATAGTTTCACAAATAAAGTTCTTTCTGTGCTTAGCACAAAGTAAACAAATTAATTTTCTTTACCCCCCCATCTCCTATTTGTCTATCATCCAGAATATTCTGATTTTTCAGCTGGAACATTCTTGAACTGTTCTGCAGACATTGCAAACATTACAACCTAAAGTTAACTTATTTAAAAGATTGCACTTCAATCTACTTTATTGGCTTATGAACTTGCTGAAAAAAAAAATTATGTTCATCTGAAATCCACTAGTTTAAATGTAGAAAGTTGCATTTTTAACTTCACTAGAATGAAGCATTTAAACTGGATGAGGGAAAAGATATTTTTCTCTTTAACTCTTTATACTCTTTATACTTTAGGGAATATTATTTTATTGTTAATCAGGCTATAATTTACATGTTAAACTCAACACAAACTTTATATAATCTTCTTTCTACCCACCAAAATATGGATTTGTGTTATACAATAAAAAATTTAATATAATTCTACCAATACTATTGACAAGATTATTTTATATAAATTTTATTTGTTTTGAAGGAAGGACTTACATTTTGGTTATATTATTACAGTTAGTTTTATATATCTAATATAGATGCACACACATATATGTGCAGATCTGTAGAAATTAGTGTGGTATTTGAAACCTTCACTGAATTCACTGGCTTCCACTATTGCTCTTCTGAAAAGGTTCACATGCTTGTGAAGTTTCTTTATATTTTTATAAGAAATTATAAATTCTGCTATGAGAGTCTGTGCCAGGAAAGGGCTGCAGAATACTTCCTCCAAGAAGTGATGCAGATAATTATGTAAGGCATGGATTTGTTGTGAAAAGCAAAGGAAATGAATCTTTTTAATTGTCAGCCCATGTGAGGTGAGGGAATTGCTTGTTTGGTGTCTTTCAAGAGTTTCCTTTTTAACTGAAAAATGGAAACCAGTCTTATGGTACCATTCCAAGGAGGTTCTGCAATTAAAAATGACAGTCTGGGACAAACAAAAAATTAACTGTGCACTGAGAGACAGTATTCCTAGACTTTAAGCAATGTAATTGTTCCTTTTTGGTTTCTGACTAAATAGGGTCTACTGTATTCCAGAATGCCTTAAAAGACATATATATAGGTGCCTAGCATACTTCTTTAAAGAAGAAATTGCAACATTTCTTAGTCAAGAAGTTAAAAAATGGAACAAAAGCAGGCTTTCCTCTTTTGGATTCAACCACTTGTTGAGTTAGTTATATTCTCTACATATTAACTCAGCCTCATATGTAGAATAATATTAAATCAGAGAAAAATGAACTCTTAATCACCATCATTCACTTAATGTAGTTTTCTCTCCCTATTTCAGGAATCATAACTTCAAACCACTCTTCTTTTTGTTTTGCTTTGTCTTGCTTCCCTCAATGCACCAAACCATCTGCTAGCAAAACATGCTTCTACCCATGTGTGTGGTGGTGTGCAGTGATAGTTTTAAAGCAACACACGAGAAATAAAACTTCAGATGCCAAAGATTATGTCCAGACTTTTTATCTTTGCCACCAAACTGTACTCCCTCGTGTGAAGCAGCAGCATGGGCACAGCCCCCATCCTGCGGGCTGGAGCCATGCTCTGTTGGCTGAGGATAGGGGAGGAGAGGGCTCGGGAGCCCCATGCCCTCCCGGGCACTCAGCTTGTGAGCAGGATCCTTGTCCAGCTGTGAGGGGTCTCGAGTGGGTGTCCTGTGAGGAGCGGCTGAGGGCCATGGGGATGTTTAGCCTGGAGAAAAGGAGGCTCAGGGTGACCTTTCTCTACAACTCCCTGACCAGAGGCTGTTGCCCGCTGGGGGCCAGTCCCTTCTCACAGGTAACAAGTGACAAGATGAGAAGACATAGTCTCAAGCTAGACCAGGGGAGGTTCAGGTTGGACATTAAGAGGAATTTCTTTACAATTAGGGTGGTTAGACACTCGAACAGATTGACCAGGGCATGGTGGAGTCACCATGCTTGGAGTTAAGACTGGATGTGGCATTTACTGGCATGGTCTAGCTGACACGGGGGCGCTTACATTAGACTCAGTGATCTCATAGATCTTTTCCAACCTAATTGATTCTATTTGATTCTGTGAATGCCAGCAAGCCTGCAGTGAGGGCAGAGCTCGGAGAACTGGCTCCTCATCTTGGCCAAACCAACGCTGCTGCTTCCATGTTTGACTTAAGGCTGAGGCAATTCATCTCCCTTCGCTGCTTTCCCAGGAAATTGGAAGGGGCCAGCATGTCCCACAGGTGAAGCACTTCACCTGCCGTGTCAGGCAGCGGTGTTGCCTGGGGAGAGGTGTCTCGGTGAGGGCTGCACGGAGCCCTGGCTCCGTCGTGAGGTGCCGGCTGCGAGCCCCCCGCCAACATGGCGCCCCTGACCCCCGCGCTTCCTCTTCCGGCCGGGTTGCCATGGCGCTGCCCCCGGCCCAGCCTCCCCCCGCCCGCCGGTGTGTGTTTACATCGGGCAGGAGGAGCCGGAGCCCCAGCGCCGGGGGAGACGGGCACGCAGCCGCCGGCCGCCCGCCCTCCCTGCATCCCCGCCGGGCGGTGCTCCGGGAGACGCGGCATGAAGGTGATGCTGGCGGCCGTCCCCGGGGCGGGGGGTTCGGCTGCGGGGGGGCGAGGGGCGGGGGCCGGGCCCGGCGGTAACCGGTGGCGGGAGGTGGTGGCGGCCGTGCGCTCTCGTAACCTAGTACACAACTTCCAGAAGCTTCCAACTTCGCGGGGGATGCGGTGTCGCTTCTTGGGTCCGTCTCCCTGGAAAGAATCCCCCGTTCTCTCCATTAAAACCGACTCGTTTCCTACGGCGCTGAAACGGGAAGGGAATAGCGTGGGAGCCGGTGAAGGCTGCCTGCCCCCGCTGCCCTTCCAGGCTGGTGTCTCCACGGAGAAATTGCCCTCCTTCCCCGGGCCTCTTCCCTCATCCGCAGCATCTCGCAGGGGTTCGCTGCCCGGGGTCCGTGCCTCGCTGTGCGGCCGGGCTGTCCCGGTGCTCACCTGTGCCGCTGCTCACGCAGGCCCTTCCCTAAGCCCGGCGGAGATCTCGCCTTTCTCCGTAGTTTGCTGTGGAAAACTGTTAGGATGGAGAATGTCTGACCTGAGCCGATTATTGGTGTGGGTGCTGAGGCTGGCTGGACTATAAAAGTAGTAATATATAACACTCAGATATGAGGTTGTGTCTTCTGTTGTGTTGGTTAGGAGTCAGTGATGCCGTTGTATTGTTTTTCTTCACTTTATGTTGTCATATCTCTGTAATTTTCACATGTGTGACTTTTAAAGGGGTTTTCTCTCATTAATCAGTCTGACACACCAGACATTCCCTGTCTCCTGAATTTGTCTAGCAGTAAAATAAAAAATGTATTAGCTAGGTTGTAAGCGCTTTGAGGTAGAAACCGTATAGGTCTGTACCAATCCAAGAAGGATGGAGAGATTTGGCTCAGGCCTTCCTCCAAGCCTCTGAGTCAAGTAAGTGTGTGTTAGAAGTTCATCAGCTTGTGCAGGTGTTGGGTTCTGGGAAGTGCATGTGTGGCAGTCACTGGGCTTAACAATTGTCTCTGGGCACTAGGGGCTCTTAACCATGATATCTTCACAACTGGTGGGTGATAGAAAAGGGGCAGCCTTTGCATATATGCAATAAATATATGTAAAGAGAGCATGTCCTTCTGTGCAGTGTATATTTTGTTGTGCATTTGTACAAAGCCTGATAGTAAAATGTGTATTATTTTTCTTTCTCTCTGAGTATTTCTTAGTTCCAATAGTGTAGGATAATAAAAAGTATGTATTGAGAACGTTATTGATAAACAGCACTATGGCTTTGGGTGATTTGTTGACTTACACTGTAAAACAGAAACCTCAGAGTGCTGTGTGAACAGTACATCCAGTTTGAGGTCAAAACTGAAAACAGAAGCTGAAGAAAATATTTTATTTCACTCAGAGTAAACAGCTGCTTATTCTTGCTAAGCCCATTACTTCTGCTGAATTCCTTTTTTGCCCCACTAGAGTGGGGAAAGCTCATGGCTATTTAAGATAAGCTCATCCAAAATACAGCAAGATGTGCGTGGAATCATGTTCTGACTGCAAGGAAAATGAGTGTGTTCAGGGGAAAGTTATCTGTTTGTTTTTAACCAATCATTGTCCAGGTATAAGCACTGTATAGAGCTTTTCAGTATAAAAGGGTTCACTTTTTTTCTCAGAGTGGGTAATTTCTTTCAGGGCACATTTCTTTCCATGTGTGCCACTTTTCCCTGTAGGAGTTGCTTCAAGTTTCTTCTGGGTAAGATCATTGCAGATGCATTATTTAAATTCTTAAGCTGAGGGTGGGGATAATTGTCTTTTCATTTAACAAGTGGAACCCATTGAAATGTGCAGTATTTTCACCCCTTTAAAAGGGTGAGAAAAAGAGAAGTGAAGAGAAGGAAGAGGTGTCTGTGTGGTGTGAGTTGAATCTGAATCCCTTTTATGGGCCTGCTCATGAGTACTTCAGTGTGACTTTAAAACAAATAAGTTTAAAGATTTGATCATTGCAGGGAAGACATCAAAACTAAGCTTTTCAAAAGTCATTGTGTCAGTTTCTCCCCTAGTTATTGTTATATCCTGGGAAGTAGATTTGAGTTTGTGTGTTTCTGGCAGCACTGGTTTTGGTGGTGAGCTCATTGATGCTGGTTAGCATGTTGCTGAGAAGGCAGAGCAGTCAAAAGAAAACAGGTTAATGCTAGTATCAAAATGGTCTGCCTGCTTAGGGAAGGGAAGAAGCAGGCAAAGGGAAGTAAGTGGTAACATCAGGGGATGTTCTTTTGCTGTAGAAGTGATCCTTTCAGGATCCATTACTAATGCTGATCATTGCTGAGGAAACTGAAGCCTCATGTAGTTTATTTTTAAAACAATAATTTAGTAAGTATCCTGTTGAAAAGGTAGAGTGAAGTAAAGTAGTGTGGCAAAGCAATGCTTTAAAACTTGGTGTTGAAGCTGGACTGGATTCAGGATAGTCTTTATGTGTACTTTTTTCTGCTCCCATGTCTTTTGAGCTGTGTCTGTGCTGAAGGATGGTTTCTCTGTGCTCTTCCAGGCTATGCAAAGTACAAAACTGGTTAAAGTCCCTTGTCCTGCTTTATAGGACAGGAGTGAGAGGCAAGCAGCTCAGATTGTGCCAGGACGTGGACCTTTTCTGTGTGTAGTAATAAGTGATACCTTTTGAATATGTCAATAAAGTTTGCTTTCCTTCAAGGGCAGATTGTCCTGATGGCAAGGAAATACACCTTTTCAGGCTGCATTAGGAGCCTGGGTAAGGTGTCTGTCCTGGGGAGGGCAGTTCCATTAATTAGGGCAGTGGGGAGATAGGCAGGGATTTGGATGCTAATTTCTGTCCCACAACACAGTATCTTTCCAGTATTCATCTCTTGTGGCTAAATGCTGGATTTCTCAAGTCTTAGGCAGCACTGGAGAAGGTTCTTGTGCCCTTGCTAACAGAACCTCTTCATGCTGTATCTTCAATGGGTGAATGAGGCATTAGGATAGTTCCTGGTGTGGTGACTGCTTCTAACACTGCTGCTGTCACTGGGCTAACCTAAATCCAAAATCAGACATGAAAGGCATTGAGAGTGGCGGGTCATATTGAAGTTCTTGTTTGTGAAAATAAGCTCAGGATGTGATTTAAGTAGCTGGTCCCCTCTTTATTGAAAGGATTGTTCAAAGTAGAATGAGAGCTTATGGTGGTTTGGCATGGGCTCACAGTTAAGTTATATAGTTTGGGATATGACAAGTGTCATAAATGTGACATTTTACTTTGAGAAACTCAAAGCTATATTTAAGAGAAAGAATATGAACTTACTGCCTATAGTTCTCTTTTTCTGACTGCCTGTGATAGTGAGTGTTGACAGATAAATTTTAGCGATCTGAATAAGGCAAGATTATTTTGAAGATGCAGTATCAAATTTATGGAAAGCTCAAGTAAATATTTTTCTTGCTTGTGTTTACAGACAGCTCTGTTACTTAAGGATGTCGTGGGTTGTTCTGTCAAAATGATATATATGTAATCTTTTTTTTTTTTTACATGTGTCCAATCTTGTTTATCAGGCCTCTTTATAGTTGAAATGAAAAGTGCTTGGGAAAGGAGCAGCTTATAAGAATAGGAGACAAGAGTTACTGCTTTCTGTGGAGTATATAGTAATATTTTGTTTTCCTAGCATGTAGTCCTAAATGTAGTCTAGAAATGAGGAGGAGCATGAATGTAAGTGATAGTGTAAAAGTTACATAAAGGTACATAGAATATGGAGTACATATTCTGTAGATAATTTTGATTGAAATATTTGCCTGTGATTGGTCACATCTGTTTTTCTTTATTGCTGAACTGTCTTACAAACCTTGTAGTGGTTTTCTTTTTCAAATTTCAGCTGAATTTCAGAGATGGGAAAGGGTTGCATACCTTAGAAGTTCTGGGCAAAGGTATATTCTTGCATAGATGGGACAAATAGTAGAGCTCTTAAGTTTCTTCAAAATAATGTTCTGATTGAACTTAGCAGGTGTCATAGAAGTGGCTTGTGCTGGTAAATCTTAGTCTTAATATGTCTGCAGAGCTGCTCAAGGTCTACTGCATTACTTGGGCTTTGATTCATTCTAAAAACATTTTGGAGGGAGAACCTTTGCACTTCACAGATCTTCAAAGTAGAAGGCAGCAGTTACCAAAAGCTATTGCTTCCTGAATTAATTCTTACTTGTGTGTTGCTTGTGTTCATAATGATCAAGTGTTTTTTCCATCTGATGGGTGTTTGGTTGCTGAGTGTAGTAACTCTGGTTGGAATCTTGTATGCAGCAAGTTGTGACCTTTCTTACTACTTCTTGGAGTGAGTTTGGGAGAAAAGGAGCTCTCTATGGAGCCTGAAATAATGGGGGTGTTACTGCTGGCAGTGCTTCTAGCAGTCGAGTTTTGACTGTGCAGGCTAGGTGTGAAATTGCAGGGCTTAAAAGTACCAGAAGATGTAGCTTTTGTTCTGTAGAGTTAGTAAATATTTTATCTGAAATGTTTCTTCTTTAAAGCACTACAACAACTGCATAGAATGACAAGCAATACTGATCTTGAAAAGCTCTGATGTGAGTTCAAAACTCATTTGTAAGGAAGGAAATATTTAACTACCTAGCCATCAACAAGATAAATTTAAAAGTTGTGTGATAAATAACTCATAATGCAATCTCCTAGCTAATTACCAAATGCAGAAAATGCATTTTGAAATACCTAATGAAATAAGGACCAGGAGTGAGTTCTGTCCTGAATAAAATATTTTATATTTATTCTCAATTTCTAGCATCTAAAATTACTTTTGAATGTTTTGAATCAACTTTTTAACTTCAGATGGATTTGCAGCTTTTGTTTTAGGAAGGATTTCAAAAGGAAATTAAGATTTTTTGCAAGATGACTTGGGTTTCAAAGTCTTGCAGTGATGTCTCTCGTGAATCTTTTGGGGGACAATGCTCATATTTTTCAAGCTGTATATATGCTTGTGTACTTTGAATTCAAGTCTTATAGTAAAAATTCTGATGTTCTAGCTGTAAAAGCTGTCGGAAATTACTTAAATTTCA